TTAGGATGTGTTTAAGCTCGATTGGAGCCAATTTTTTTAAATTTGTACATTGCAGACAAAAGAACAATTTGTTTTTATTTATTTAGAGATAACATTTATTTCAAAAATTAGCCTTTTACTGAAAACAGCCAACAATTTCGGACATTGGTTTTAAACTGAAAATGTGTTACCTTGTGGGTAACATTTTGTATATAGAAATACTCTATATTAAAATATATTCCCATTTGAACGATAATTTCTATTTTATACAAAATGTCTGGCAACATTTCTCTCAGTGTACAGTCAGGTGTGCGTGTTCTGTTCTGACGGCCCACACGTCATGAATCAAATAAACAAAAATCACATGTTAAACCGTAATACGTGCATTATATATAAGCACTCGAATTAATTATTTCACAGCATCATCATCACCATCATTATCAGTATCAGCATCATCATCATAATCGTCATTAATTTCAACGACATTGAACTTGAATTGTCAGTCAAGCGAATGCCAAAACGGTGGCTGCTTATCGCGCTCCAATTCAGATTCGATTCAGATTCCGAGCTCAAAGCATTCATATAAATTAGCGTTAATTAGTGGCGCGACATTTGATTAGAGAAACAAATTTTCCCACCACTCGAACTACAAGTATGCATATGTATAAACACCCATTCAGGGCTTATCAGCAACTATGTAATAAAATGAAAATAAAAGTTCGCAACCTTCGACAAATGTGCGCATTCGGAAAAAATGCCATTCAAAAATAGTGTTCAGTTTATTTTCGAATTTTGTCACGCAATTATGATTGTGTATTGTTTTCACATTTCGCTGACCATGGGGCCGCTTATCTTCTGTCTGGCCCGACCGAATATTGCGTGATCGGCGAACTTATCGAACAAATCGCTGAACGCTCCAAATTCACACTCAAAACAATTATAAGTAGTTGTCTGTCTATCTGTCTGTCTGTCTGTCTTTCTGTCTATTATGCTCATACGCTTTCATGTAATGCTGTCTTTACACTGCCGTTAGCTTATCAACAAATAATAATACATAGCTTAGACTAGTTGTTCAGTTTATCGGCTTTAGAGCGCAACAATTTTATTCGTAGACGCTGCAAACTAGTTTTTATAGCCAACTAGTTTCGGACATCATGCCATATGCTAATTAGTTTTTTGTGCCAACGAAGAGCGGAGCTATGGGCTTTTTTTTAGAGCAGACATGCCGGCACTAAACACCCATCTCTTTAACTCTTCCGATTGCGTGCCGCCTGACGTCATAATCGGCCAACTTATGTGTGTAGATAAGTGGGGTATTGATTGTCTTATCGTTATAGAGTTTTATAAACCATAATCTCGAAATTTCTGCATTACGTTTAGCTTAAAAAATAAACTAGTTTCATGAAATGTAGGCCACGAATTGGAACATTGTTTAGAATTCCCTAGCAGGGGAAATCTTCCGGCTTAGAGAACTTGAAACTATTTCGTTAAAAAATTCATTAAAGACAAACAAATTTGGAAACATTAATTAAAGCTATTTGATATTTCGGCCAGTTTTTAGTTGCGCAGAATTTAAATTCAAAGTTAATGAATGCTAGAAATTCTTGCTTGAAGAGGTATGTTTTGAAAGCATAAATACATATAAACGTAAATCTCTTTAGTTCGCCGTAGAGTTAGATCTGAATTTTTCTTTTAAAAAATTCTTTACATAAATTGTAATTTAATAATAAATAATAAATAAATAAATAAATAATAAATAAATAAATAAATAATAAATAAAGACTGGGATTTCATGATGATGTAGGATCCGTTAAAAATGAAATCGCCACCGTGAAAGTAACCCGCTGGAAACATTTTCAAGATGTATATACTGGAGATCCAACTAGTGAAATGGCAATAATAAACCTCTGCTTTAAGTTAAGGGATGATTCAGTGACTAGTGGCTTCCCAAATTGATTTTAAATAATATTTAATATGGACACAATTTCTTAAACAAATGACGACGATGTCGTTGACTTTTATATAAGCAGCTCACGACTAGTATTGGATGAAGCTTTACATTTTACAAATAAGTTTACAAGTTTAAATAAATAAGTTTATAGCCTGACTATTTTTCAGATTCCATCCTTGCAGTTAAAATTAGTATTGTTGTGCTAATCCTTGCTTTGGAAGCAATACTGGATATGTGGTATACACTACGTTATTGATTTTGATTTACTCAACACTTGAACTATATAAAACGTTTAAGTATTATACTAGTACAAAATCTTAATACCACTTAGAAGCCTTTTTAAATCGGTTTCTTTAATACAGCCACATTTTTCGGCTTCTGTTTGGACAACAACTAAGGGGTATAAATTTCAAAATTTTCTGCGCATTGCGCTTCTAGAATTGTAATGTTAAAATGATAAAAATAATAATATCATTTTATTTTCTTTGACATTTGGAAAACAAAAACATTTGTTAGAGGTGCTTAAAAGTGCAAGAATTTGATTCAAGTTTATTATTATCCTTTTCCGTTGGCTGTATTCGAGGTTTTTCTCTGTCTGTTTCAGAGTCGACAGAATTGGCAGACGTTAGGGCAATACACTCTAATCATATTACCTTCAAACAGATGCTTTTAAGCTTAAATATAAGGGTATTCGGAGAACTACATGTGTCTCAAACAATACAAAAATGCGAATTTGTCTAGCAGAGAACTGCAGGCCGAATTTCTATGCATTAAGATTGCTGCAAAATTGATTTAAAACCAGAATGGAACGCAGTTTTTTTTTGTTTTGGTTGCTAGGCATATCCTTAACCCATTCAATTATCGGCAAATTATTGCAACATATTTCACAAATGCTTACAAATTCTTGGAACTTCCCACGCAGTTTTGAATGGAAGCCTTCTTTCCGCCATCATTATTGTTGAAGAGCATTCACTGGCTTGCTATGCAGCGTGCTGTTAAATGTGCGAATCGACTGCATCTGTCAGTGCCTGCAAATTGATTTGACCTTATTGATTGACGCTATTGGGCATATTTGTGGTGAATTCTTTGTTGTTGGCACAACTATGTATACTCGAGTGCGCTGAGCGAACTTCAATTACAACAATTATGCGATACATTGGTTGTGAATTTATGCAGATGCTCGCTTGCATAAATTTGATTGATCGCTGCCCACAATTGCCAGAGCATGGGAACCAGCAGCAGTCAGACAACAAAAATAAGCTTCTTTCGAATCGAAAGCAACTGTCAACCGCAAAGGCAAACCCTTTTCAAATAGCACACCAATCCCAAATCCCAGGAGCTACTCGAGCTGTGTTTACCCACAGGTCCTGTCTATCTATAACTTTTTCGCCTGTCACATTTTCTATTATGGACCGTTGTTGTTGACATTTCTGTGCCGGTACTTTTATGGTTGTTTGTTTTATTTCTATTATAATACGATACGTACTCATTGAAGCCTTCCCCCACCCTTCCCCCCTAAGGATGTTGTTGTTGATGTTCCACATGCAAGGACTCCCATACCTCCCATGCGTGTAGCATTCACAGTTGAGTGTGTGTTGCGGGCAGGAGGGTAGGGGGCATTGGGGGCCTCCTTTAAAATGTCAAGTTGCGTTCTTTGGGGCCAAAGGAGGACAAAGTTTTTCACAGCCACCATTTTGCTTTGGTGTCTTATTCTCAAGCTTTTTTGTTGATTAAAACCACATGACTGACTGACTAACCGACAGAAAAGAATGAGCCGTACACTGCTTGCAAGAAATATTTTGATTAATTTGTTGTTCCATCGATGGAATTGATTAAAAATAAAAATAATAATGAAACAATTACCAGGAAAGTAACTAAAATGCAGTTGAGGGGGAAGTCCTTTCTATAAAAAATTACAACATTTAAAACTATTATGTAATAAAATTTATGAATCTCAGAGTGGGGCGTCCAGAGAAATTATTGAATAAGGCTCAAAACGTATTGACTTAATTGCTTGGATGGAGAATCGCAGAGGAAGGCATCAGATTTCAGATTTCTGTAACACTTACAAGTTTTATTTAAAGTAAATATTGAATTTTTAGAATGTCATTACATATATGCTTGATAAAAGAATCGCAAAGAAGGGGCTTTTAACTTTCATTCATTTTAAATGATCATTCAATTTAAAATGTATATTGTGAGAATCGTTGAGGAGGCGTTTCAAATATTTACTTGCGTAAGTATTTGACTTAAATAAAATTGATATTTAACGCTATAAATATCACAACTTGTTATGAGAAATGCTGGAAATAGAAGAACTGAGGACTCAGCATATTTTTTCATATACAAATAATTTATCTAAATATATATATAAAGTTCAAAATGTCTTTACTTTTAAATCATTTCTGTGGACAGACTCTCCCTTATTATAATTATATTTTGGCATTAAAAATTAAATAAATAAATAATCAAAAATGTAGAAAATACTAAAATAAATTTACTTTAACATTATTATTTGAAAATATGTATTTGGAAAATGAAACATCAACTCGAATTTGTATAGCTTCTAGAGCTTAGACTTTTACTGCAGCTTGTACATAAACAAATATTCGTCCATATACTTATGCCCATCGGTGTGAGTGGCGTGACGAGTGTGGTATTATTGTCATTTGTCCCATGCAAATGATTTGCCGGCACAACACATCTCCGTCAATACACACATATACTACATAGCTATGTAGAAGTGTGTGTGAGAGTGTCGTTTGGGTGCGTGTGTACGCTCTTGATTGTTTTGAAGTTCTTAGCCCTAATCAATTCTGGTTTTAGGTGTTTTTTTTCATGGCGCACTTGGCTGAGTGGTGGTTGTTTGTCGTTTTTTAATGAGAAAAGTTTGACAGCTTAAGTTTAAATTATGAGCTAAGCCTAAATATCTAGCCGCATTAGAATTCCTGACACTCCCACATACACATCCACAGCCACTTAAGGAACAGTTGACATAATTAGCTTAAATCATTTGTTTAACATATCGCTCCCATCAACTGAACAACTTGTCCTCTTCTCGTTCGCACAGCACAATCCCTGGTTGCCGACAAATGCGATGAAAAACAGTTCCAATGTCAGAACGGCGACTGCATTCCCATACGTTTTGTTTGCGATGGCGATGCCGATTGCAAGGACCACAGCGATGAGATGGTGCCCGAGTGCAAATTTCGCGGTAAGTCAACAATGTGCCTCATAGAGATGGACGCGAAATACCATTAATTGAGCTACAAAAGTGGCGTGAATGCGAAAAATGTGCTAGTTCGTATTTAAATTTAATAATTTGGGGCGATATAACAAGAATGCCAAAGGGAAAAAAGTTAAAAGGAAAACTTTGATTAAAAACTAGACAAAAAACATTCTAAACTGTAATAATTATTATCCAACTCCCAACACATGCAATTATTTCAATTTAGTATTAGTAGCAATATTAAAATTCCTGTTCTATTCACACATGCTCTCACTTTTTATTAGATATTTCCCTAACGTAGTATTAATATTATTATTATAATTATCAAAGTGTGTTTAAATAATCGATAGTGTTTTTTTTTTGTCATATCTGCTACTCATTTATTGGAAGGTGTTGCAATTTTTCTTTAAATCTGCCCCCATGTAATAACAAAAGTTGAAGGTTCATTTAAAAATTAAACTAATTTCGCAAGAACACAAAAACAAAAAACATGTGTTCAACCCAATAAAGACCCATATCTCTCCCCTCTTCATAACTAATAATAATACTGATTCAGATAAACATACGATATAAAAGGTGCGCGAATTATTGAAAAAGGAGAATACGTTTCATAGTATATGAACTGAACTGTTAAATATATTTTTGAAAAACAAATAATTGCTTTAATTTAATAAAATTATCATAAGTTTTGAAGTTAAATGAAGCAAAAAAAAATCCAAAAAAATATTTTAAAAAAAAATTAACAATTAACAAAATTAATTAACAAAATATTAATAAACGCAATAAATAACTAGGACAAATTCAAATATAAGAGGAAGAAAGAAAACGAATAATAGCATTTTGTGGACAATATAATTTGCCAAATCCTTTTTAATTACTTCGCACACCTTACATTTTAGAAAACCAAATACTACAGTGCTAGCAACCAAAAATTTTATTATAATTGCATCGAGATGATGCCATTTGAAGGGTTCTTAATTTATGAATAGAGAGACACTGGCGCAAATGTAATAATTAAATCCACCATTGCCAATCATTGACTAATTAAAAATAATGAAATATATAATTAATATAATTTTATACTCTTAACTGCAAAATCCTTGGCAGCAGCTAATATTTAGCGAAACAATAGCGATGCGAACGAGCACGACACAAATTCACGCGTGACTGCATTTGTTGTCTCCGAGCTGCACGAACCCACTTGAAGAATGGAAGTGAAATGTTGTGTAGCATGCTTTTGGGCGCACCATGAAAATTTCGACTCACAGTCGCGGCTGCTTTCGTTGTGCCAAACAAAATGTGCGCACAACGCATGTTTGATTGTCTCTCTGTCTCTGTGGCTGATGCAATTTCGCTGATTTGTGTGCCTTACTGTGTGCGTCTGTGTGTGTGTATGTGTGTGTATGTGTGTGTGTGTGTGTGTGTGTGCGTGTCCGTCTTTCTGTTTTTTGGGTCAACAAATGAAAACTAGTTTATACAGCATTTACGAATTGTAATTGCTGCGAATTGTCTGCCAGTCTTGAAGTCTTGGCTGGTCAGCCGCTCATTAAGGCTAAGCTGCAACGCAATTGGCGCGCTTTGCTGACTGCGGCATGCCACGTTGTTGCATCAGCAAAAAGTCTGTTTAAGCTTAGTTTATCAGCAAATGCTGGCGCACGCGACTTTTTGCGTCGCACAATCGACAGCGACATAAAAGGAAGCAGTGAGGTCGTCTGCTTTATGTTTTTATCAACAATTTGTGCCAGCTACGCATTTGGGTCTCATATATTAAAAAAAAAACCCAAAAAAAAAACTGTCATAATAACAAGTAATTGTGGGGATTTACTCTGACATGCAAACATCCCACAGGAATGCAACAGCAGCTGTGCTTATAAAACTCACAACAAAGCTCAAAGCGAGACTCACTCAACACAAATACGCCACTCACTCAGCTGCTGCCACTCACTCAACTGAGTGCTTTTTTATTGCTTTTGTTCTTCGGAGAGCTTTAACGGCTGCTGAGATGCTGCGCGCTCTCCATAGAGTTGGCTGCTGTCTGCCGTCTGCCGCAAACAACTTTCGGGCTGTTGTTTTTAAGGATTGGCGCTCAGCCACTGGCCACTCAGTTGGCGGCGAACTTTTCAAGCAAACGGACGGTGAAAAACCCGAAAGCGTGCAAAACGGCTAACACATACAAAATAGACAAAATAAAACAAACAAAAAATTAAAAACAGTTGAACGGCATTTTTAAATGTAAGCAGCGGCCTAAAGCGACTGTGTGCGCGTGTTTTATATTGTGCTTTAAAATATTTAAATAAAAAAGACGGCCTATTTTCCTTTTAACTGAGTAACAGTTCACACTTTTAAATGCTAAACAGAGTTTCTTGATTTTATCTGAAAATTCGTTTCTTTAAATAGCACGTCAGTAGCAGGAAAAAAACAGAAAATATAATAATGCAAAGCAGCTATTGCTTTTGCTTTTTATCCTGGCATGTGCGCTCAAAGATAGGCTACGAAAAAGTTGTCGCTTATCAGTGGACTGGCGATCAGTCAGTCAGAGACATCCGTTAGACCCGACTGTGCGACATTTTGTTGGCCCCTCATCCTACGTCCTGTATTTGTGTATTTGTGTATTTCTGTATTACATCTGATTTCCCATTTCACTTATCATTTATCATTTAGTTTTGCCATTAAATGTGTTTCCCCAATTTCCCCACAAAATGCTGCTGCTGTCGCCGCCGCTCTCTTTACAATTCAGGCCAGCTATATACATATATATGTATGTATGTATATAAAATTGTTGTTGTGCTGCCCTGACTTTGCGACACTTGGATAATACAGTCAATGACAACAATACATGTTGCTCTTGCCATTGTCATTATGAACTTGAAAATTGCGTTGGCATTACTCTCTGTTGCTCATTCATTCATTCATTCGTTTGTTTGTCTGTCTGTCCGCATTTTTGTTTGTTTGTTTGTTTCCTTGTCGGCACAGCGGAAATTATGCAATCAATTTGTGCAAGTTGAAGCGTGAAAATGTTTGTGTGCTTAAGAACATTCTTGGCCTTTAAGTGAAAGAAAAAGAAAAAACTAAAGACAAGCATTTAAAAGTGTGAGCTGTTGGGCAAAGTTTTTTATTTTCGTGGCCAACATTAATCATAATAAACGATAAAAGTTCATTGACGAATTGACAACGTCCAGTGCTGTAAACGAATATTAATCGTTCGTCCTTTTCAACTTACTTAAAGCGTTAACAAAACATCTGAAATCCTCTACGACATTCGACAACAAGCATGGGTTACATCTGGTGTTTACTGTTCGTGACGAGTTGGCTGCACACGCAGAGTCACAGCCTTGAAGCTGTGTCTGTTCCAAATGGTATGAGAAACTTTATCCATTTGCTTAAAAGTAGTGTCTGAATTACACTTGAAAGCACTCTATAGTTTATACTTCTTGTAGTTAAGAGTAGTTTGTTGTACAGAATAGGTTTAATCATTTTACACATGCAAAATAGTGACGCTCTCTAGGTCCCTGAGGATATAATGCCAAGTCACATTTATCATTCAGACAAATGAAACGTGATTCAGTGGAAAAAAAAGTAAGCATTTGGCAGATAATATTCAGAGAGCTTAGGATTATGAAGGAGGGCAACAAGTTGCGCCAGTTTGAAAATTTCCTTAAGATTTTGCAATTTGAATTCTAAATAACTTTAAGAGAGAATTATCTGTAGCACTGCTTATGCTTGAAAGTTAAGAAAGAAATGATAATTCACTTTATTTCAAAATATACAATATTATTATTATGTTAGTCGATCTATTTCAACAATTAACTATTAAATATTAAAGGTGTCAGGTTAGCACCTCCCTCCACTGACACTGTTCGGAAATATTTCAAACTTATAACCAGTGTTGGAACAAAACGTAACTATATTAATTTTTAAAGCAGTAATTTAAGCTTTTACTGTCGATAACATTCCATAAAGCACTACGATTTATAAAACTAAAACAGAAATTACTAATGTTGGAAAACGGTTCCAATTTACGACATGTGTTGGAAAAAGCCCAATTATACTTATTTAGAAATAAATAATATTTTATAATTGCACAAAATTAAATTTTCTATTTTTGATAACACTTGATAGAAATTCGAAAAAGCTTTTTAAGGTTATATCAACTATTGATAATGTTGACAACCAGTTAAAATTGGAAATGAATGTTGAAAAATACCGCTAGTAGATCAGTCTAGAATATGTACCTTCGAAAAATCGATTTAAATTGATAAATAAAATATACTAAATGCGTTTACTATTGCTAATATTGGGAAATATCTTGAAATGCGTTGAAAATTTTTCTAAAAGTTTATTTAACTTTAAATAAACATTTCCAATTGAGCGATAAAAAAAATTGGTTGTTGTTGAGTAGTGTTGGATAACACTTAAAGCAGACAGTAAGCAAACAAAACTTAAGTGGTTAGTGACTTCAAATACCACAATTATTGTAATATTCAAGGTTTAGCCGCGATTAATAAGAAGTTACGCTTCAGGTGTGGCTATGACGAATTGGTACAACGGCTAGAATCATTAACTAGTATACTGTGAGAACTAGTTTTAATATTTAGATGTTTTCATTTATTCTCACATCTGTGCACTCTTTCCTCTACTGAAATAAACCATTTAATCATTCCTAATCTCCACTTGCCCTTTTCAAACCTTCTCAGACCTATCAAGTCTAATAAAAGTGTCACAGAAGCATTTGGAAAAAAAGTGTACAGAATTTGTATTCGCCACCTTTTCGCTACCAGTGGGTTGGAGGGTGGAGTGGGGGGATGTGGCGCGCAAAACAACGCCTTGATGTATGCAGCAGAAATTTTTACCCTCCTAACATTTGCATACAAATTGCAGCTGGCAAGGCCAAAGTTTTTTAATCAACTAAAAAGCCGTTTAAAACTTACTTAAACACACGAATTATGAAATGTAGATCAAGAACTTTTGTGCAAACTACATGGATACATACATACAAGTATATACCTTACTGGTTGCCCATTTAAAATGCTAAAGCAATCAATGGACATGTTCGCAATTCTTTTTAATTTCCGTCTGCATTTTAAAGCACAGTTGTGCGAAACCAATATTTATTAAATAATTTCTATATATAGTACAATACATATGTATACAGCTTTTGTAAATTTCATTTTTAATTGCTGCCCGAAGTGACATTACATTTAATATGCGCCCAAAACAAACAGCGCCATAAAAGTACTTTGAAAAATGATTCGGTGTCGTCGATATTTGTGCGCTGGGCGTGCCACGTATTAGCAAAAACGAAATACACAAATACGTTGAAAGGTTGACATAAATATGCATACATATGTACATACATATGACTTCTTTTTTTAGGGCTTCTCGCGCACATGTGGCCATTTTGATTGTTATTGTTACTGTTGCTGCGACTGTTTGTATTTGTATTTGCTTTTTAACAAATATTGAACATATTGGTTTCGTTTTGCTTTTAAAACATATCGCACACAAGTTCATGTTTGTTTGCTTCCATGCTACATTTGGCAACAAGAGTTGAACACAACACAAAAAAAAACCGGAAAAAAAAGCGCAATCAATGGGATTGGGTTGGTCGAGGTGGGCGGGTCTGGTTGGCCCATAAAAAAGTTTAGAAAAGTAATCATATAAAATTTTATTTGCATGGCAAGTTGTGCGGCGTGACAGAAATGTGCACCGAGCATGAAAATTTATTAAAATTAATGTTCTGCAGAGGAAAGTTTCCTCTTTTATTTTTGTTGCTGTTTGTGCAGCATTTTTATCTTTTTGCTAAGCAAGCAATTATGAGGATTTAGAAGATTTATAAACAGACTGCATGATAAGTGGAATAGCTTGTGGATTTAATAAGAATGCAGGCATCTCTTACTTGTATTGAAGCGTAGAAATATGTGAAAGGTATCTAAATACATTTTTGCTTATAAATCGGAAACACAGATTAAAAAGGAAAATTTATTCTATTTCAATTCTAAGAGCATTTTTCAAATATTTAGCATTTCTTTGAAAGAAGAGGAGAAGCAAACAACAATTTTTAGAGCATGTGCAACGAAGAGGGACTGTATGTGTAAACTTTATTTATCTATAAAATACAAAAGCATTGAAAGGAAGCTGTTTATTAATAATAGTTATGCAAGGTAACATAATTTTATACTATTACTTCAAAAAGAAATGAATAAAAAGCTTAAAATTTGCAATAATGATTAGAGAAATGTTTTTAACTAAATAAAACAGAAGCTAGGAACACAGTGAAGAAAACTTGTATTGATAGAACGTATTTTTATTACAATGAATATTAAAAGTAGCAATACAAAACATATGCCAGACAATTACATGCTCTTTATCAGTTCTAGGTTTTATATTTTGCTTAGAAGAAGAAAAAACAGCTAGTTCGAAACATTGCTGAACAATTTACTTGCCAAACGACTGCTTTAACATTAACTAAAAGCTTATTCTCAACAAAAAAGAAATCACTGCGCAATTGTGCTAAATAATTAAAGCTTCAAATGCTTAAATATTATAGTTGGTTTCTAAAGTAAAATCAAAATGCAAAAATACAGGCTTTTGTGATAAGTTTTCACGGCGCATTCGGGGCATAATAAATACACATTAGATAGTAGCTTATCGACCCATTGGCAAACAGGAAAAATTATTAATCTTTACACCTTCACAAAATTAGGTTGTCAAGGACAGATACACAGGACCATGAAGCCTAAGTGCAGCTCTTATGCGGTCGTTTAGCATATAAAACTAATTAAAATGCATAAATTACAAATTGCAAAAATAAACATTTAACTATTCAACAGAAAAAGACATTATATATAAAATTTGTGTAATATTTCGATTTGCAACAGTGTTTTAAATGCTTGCTTATAACAAACTATGAACAACTTTCAAGAGTTTCCAACTAATTCAGCAAATCCTTGCTGTTATTCAAGTTTTTGTCACAGACAAGAACTTCTTCGCATTTGCCTCATGTGTGCACGTAATCGGTGTATGTATATGTATATATAATAGAAATCCAACTAACAGCTCTCACGCGATAATTAAAGCGATTATATATGAAAAAATGAATAGCCACTTAACACATCCTCCCCCTGTTTAAAATTTATTTCAAAGACTATACATACTCCCTCCCCCCAAAAAAAGAAAACAACAACACTTTGTTTAATAAATTGAACGTCTTTGCACAAATGATTGCTTTAATTATAATTTCTCAAATCTATATTCTTTAAAATGATTTTTAAAATTGTCATGATTTAAATGTACACCTGAACGTTTTTTTTTTAAGCCGATGTATGCCCAATTCTTGAATGTACATTTTTTTCACCTGAATATCGGCTTAAATGTTGAAGCGCCACCAACACACTCCACTGGATTTCGATGTCTGCTTTATTATGTTGATAAAACAGCAGGCAGATTGCCAGAGTGTTCAATGGTGGCACACACACACACAAATGCACACAAACACACACACACACACATACACGAAATGAGTAGAAAATATTGTTGGCCTCGAGGGGCATTGAAAAGCCATTGGACATTGAGCCCACGCGTATGCAATGGTTTCTCTTTTCTGCTTCTACTATTTCTTTTAATATTATTTGTTTTTTTCTGCGTCTCTCTATGTGTGTGTGTGTTGTACACAGCACGTGCTCAAGTGCGTGTAAATATAAATACACACACATAGACAAAGCAAATAGCAACGAAAAAAAAAGCAAGCCATTGAGAACGAAAGCATAAAAACACACTGGGGTCCATTTTGGTGGGCTTTTGTTTCTGACATGGGTTGGGGTCAGAGTTCAAAGCCAAGCGGGCAGTTTAAGTGCCCACAGCAATATATACATAAGTCTTGCTACGAGTAAGCATGGCAGCCCATTGTATTTATTAGCATACGAGTACATCCCGCATTATGCCACTTCATTGATTAAGTTTTCCGCTCTATTGCAGAGGCCACTTGCTCGGCCGATCAGTTCCGCTGCTCCAATGGCAACTGTATATCCAATAAGTGGCGTTGCGATCAGGAGAACGATTGCTCCGATGGCTCCGATGAGGCACCTTCACTGTGCAGTAAGTAATGCTTCCTAATATTTCAATACACATATGTATCTAAAATTATAGTTGGTGTGGGATAGAAAGAGCGCAGCAGCAAACAAATTAGTTGGAAACTAATTATATTGAATATTAATTATTGGTAATATTTTAAAAATTCAATTTTATCTTTCTCAATAAAATCTTCAATTGATTAGCGAGTCGGTTAGAAAATTAAATTTTGTATTAATTTTCCAAATATTGCATAAATAATAAAATTGTATTTTTTAATAAAAATAGTCGATCTAGTGTTAACAATTTTCTATAGAATTAAAAAAAGAAGAACATCAAGCGATTATCTTTCTGATCAATTACAATAACTTAGTCCCATAAAGTACTTAGCAATTGACGCTCTCTATCCACAACCAACCACATTTATTATGAATAGTTGTAAATTAGTCTGTAAAGCAGCTATATGAATATATATAGTATATATACATAAATATCCCCTACAGTGAATGCCTGTCCGAATAATGAATTCAAATGCAAAAGCGCCGAGCAATGCATACCACGCGATTGGCTCTGCGATGGCAGCAACGATTGTCGCGACAAATCCGATGAGGCGGACTGTAGTAAGCAAAGCAACAACAACTGCAAACTATATAGAATTTCGCTTCCTCTTTGTCTAACATGCCGTGCTTTGCTGAACTAACAAAATGGTCGATCGGCCTGTCGGCTCATAAATCATTTTTTGTGCCTCGTTCCCATCTAACTCGTTCATGTGCATTTAATGAAGTGTTCTGGCGTGCTTTTCAAATAATTTCAAAACTACAAACAAGTACACTCGGAAAAACTACAAAAGCGCCATTAAAACAAGTTTATCAAATCTTTTCGCAAACGACAATTTAAGAAGGAAAGAAAGGATATAGGAAAAAAGATTCTTAATTGTTTATAATAAGCAAAACTAAATAAGAAATTATTTTTCACAATTTAGGAAACATTTGAGATATGAGAAAGAGATATTAATAATTGCTTTTTTAAAAAATTATTTAAATATTTTGTAAATATTTCAACATCAAATATGGTGTGTTTTTTAAAAAGAGCTAAAAATTTAGTAAATTGAATTTCTGTTAATTTTTCAAACATCTATGTTAAACTAAAATTTGATGAAAATATAAATATGAAGCTGCTGGCTAAAAATATTATTCAATGTCAGTTCAATCTTTTATTTAAACAATTTTTGAAAAACATTTAAAATAAAATTGTAAAAAATACTTCTAAATTGTTACAATTAAACAATTTAGCTAAATCTGTTATTCAAACAAAAGAGATAAAAGCAAGAATGCATTTTTTTTCTTTAAATTCAACAAACATTTTTCTTAAAAAAAACAGCAAAATATTTCCTGGCGATTTTAGAATTATGTTTTCTTCGAGTGTACATATCGTGCTAGAGAGGGGTGTGTGTGTGTGTATGTGTATGTGCGTGTGTGCGTTTGTCGTAAACACATGCTGCCACTGCAGTTTAATCAAGTCGTTGAAGGGAGCTATAAATGTATATAAAGCAAACATTAAAGCGCTCATAAACACATAGCCAAAGGCACGCAGCACACCGCAGTCACACACATACACACACGCACACACACAATCTCATACACTTACACTTTTACACACGCCACAGGACGACAGCGACGCACAGCATAACAAGTATACGCAGCGTTGGCTCCGGTTGCCTGTGGCGCCTGGTAACAACGCATAAAATGCTTAACCCTAACTCACCCATTCGCCAAGCAACCCACCCAAGCATTTATTACAGCATTTATGTGTCGTCGTCGTCGTCGTCGTCGCCTGAAACACGCACACACACACTCGCACACTCTTGGCAAAAAGCAATGTCCTTGCTGGCATTATATAATGCGCTATATAAGTACAATATGACTGGCATAGAGTCACAAAATAAGTACGCGCGTGTCTTGAGGGTTAGGTTTGAAGTTTGAAGTTTCTGCCAAAATAAATGAATTTATTGTTGAGCCCATGAAACATTAAAAACAATAGCACACACAAGCACACACAGGTTGTCTGCCAGACAGAGACAGGCCGTGACAGCAGGCCTCATTGTCGCGTCACACATGGCGTATGCGTGATGCATTAAATTGAAATTTATTAGCTGCCGCAGACAGCCAGACAACAACTGCCTACGTGGGCTGTTAACTTACACTTATAAATTGCCATTGCTATTGATTTCTGTTGACCAAAAAATCAACTCTCACTCTCTCTCTCTCTCTCTCTCTCTCTCTCTCTCTCCATCTCTCTCTCTATTTGAATTTCGTCTGTTTTTTGTTGCCCACAAAATGCAGAGGCCCGCACCTGTTCGCCGGATGAGTTCGCCTGCAAGAGTGGCGAGGGCGAGTGTGTGCCATTGGCCTGGATGTGCGATCAGAGCAAAGACTGCTCTGATGGCTCCGATGAGCATTCCTGCAGTAAGCCAACAAATACTATATCTTTATACTTCGCATCGATTTTGTGTTGTAGTGCAGCAGTACTTTGAGTTCCAAATTAGTCTGTAGCTGAGCTTATGTTCCTCTCCACGATATTTAGTTGGAAATTCAACCATTCAAGCAAAACCAAACATCATTAGCATGCACTTCACCATTTCCCGTCATAAATATTTACAAACACTTCTTTTTGTTCATTGAGCATCTACTTAAAACCACAAATAACTGAATATATATCACAATAATGAATGCTTCTCCCCATTTATCACCGCCTCATATATATGTTTTCAATACTCCTTTTTGCACGCCATAAGCCATAAATAAGCATGTCAGCAATAAATGTGCGGCAAGAAGTGAGTTCGCAAATAATTCACAAACGTATTTTAATTAATACTGTGCATTCATTTATTTAAAAAGCTGATCAAGGACATTGAAATGCATTTAAAGAATTTTATATTTTGCCTCAACTAATATTTGAAAAAGAAAGCTATTTTTAAGGAACTTTAATGCTTTTTTTTGTTCTCTACAAGCAGCTGTCTTAGCATATTTTAGTCAATTTATTCATCCAATTTCTGAGGGTTCAGCTAACTTAGGTACCTTTTAAAAATTTTAGCCAAAACATTTTCAAAACTAATGCGAATAAATAGCCTTTAAAATCACTTATTTTGGAAATACGAAAATCACTTTGTAGAAAAACCATGAGTATTTTTAAAAATGTATCGCTTTTAAAACAAAAAATATCAACTATTTTTGATTATTTTAATTTGAGCTAAATTTTGATATTCGAACAAAATATGCATAATTTTTATTCTTTATATATTATTAGAATATTTTAAGTGCTAATTTTCATGTTTTGAACATTTTAAAAGTATTGTGCCCTCTTTATTTATTTATAAGTTTTTGTCTGAAATATGTGTTTTTAATATTTAAACATTTATTCAATTTAAATTAATTCACGTTTCTTAAAATCTTAAAATAATGTGAAAAGTACAGTCATCATGGCCTTTTCTACAAACTAACAAACAAAATGGAGAAATAAAAAAGTTTTATCATCAATCAGTGAAAAGCTGGAAAAATTAAGCAAAAAAAAAACCATAATAAAAATTTTTAAATTATTATTTAGCGCATTCTTTAAAGTATTTTTTACATTTTCTAAAGCATTTTTATAAATAAATCAACTAAAAAATAGGAAGCTAGCACTGCATGTTTTTGAAATTATAACAGGGATTATCTAAACACGAGGGTTAATCATACGCTAATCTAGTAAGCAATATATTGTAATTTTGATCTTTGAAAATGTTCAAACTGGCTGTAAGAGTCTATTATTGTTTAGGCAGCGACCACAAATCAAGCAACCTCTCAACTAACTATCTCATCCATCCTATTCAGCGCTTCATTCCACCTGATTTATGTAAATTCCCTTCCACACACACACACACTCATACACACTCACGCACATAATGCTTTTTGTCAGCTACTATGCTCCAGCTTGGAACACAATCCCGATTGTGTCCAGATTCCTAATGCTTTGTCCGAACTCTCCACACAGACCAGACCTGCCGTTCCGATGAATACACCTGCGGCAACGGGCGTTGCATTCAGAAGCGATGGGTGTGCGATCACGACGATGACTGTGGCGATGGCAGCGATGAGCACGACTGCCCGGTAGTGCCCTGCGATGAGGTCGCCGAGCACATGTGCAGCAATGGGGCCTGCATTGCCAAGCGCTGGGTGTGCGACGGCGATCCGGACTGCGCCGATGGCTCCGATGAACGTGTAAGTAAGGAGTCATAAATTCAAATTTTATGTGGTTAGCAGCGAAAAATGTTTGCTCGTCTATTCAAGGCTAAGTTTTGAATGCAGCGCACTACCAAGTGGCATGACGGGGCTAGGGGATGGGGGGATGGGGCGTACACACATAAATTACACATAGCCGGCACATAACTTACCACAGAAAGCTCAAGCAGCTTTTGTTGTCAACGCATAGTACGCATAAAATTGCATTTTTGCACGATTCGCGCCAAGGATGGGAAGTTTTTGGCTGAACCAAGGAATTGTGGTGGGATGTGGGGGTTGTGTGGAGTGCACAGAGTTTTCAATTTCACAGAAATAAATGCAAACCAGAACTGATTTCGTTTTGAAGTTTTGAATATTCTTCAAACTCTTTATTAAACCTTGGGGGTTTTCAATTTAAAAACAAGAAAAGAATGCTAAAGTCGAGCAGACTCAACTCAAAAAAAAATATATATATTTGAGTAATACTAAATGTAAAAAATTTAAAAAGTCTAATGAATTAATTTAACACGAGCATATATGGATGTACATATATGCCAAATTTGAGTACAAAATTGCAAGAAATACGGGAATTATGGGAAAAACACGAATTGCGGGGGAGTGGGGGGTGCATCAGAAAAAAAAACACGAACTCGTCCTTACTCGAACATTGGACAATCTGGATACCAAGTTTGGTTATTCTAGCTCTAATACTTTCTGAGATCCTTGCGTTCATACAGACAGACAGACAGACAGACAGACGGACAGACGGACATGACTAAATCTAGTCAACTAGTCACCCTGATCAAGAATATATATACTTTGTGGGGTCTGCCACAGCTCCTTCTGTATGTTACATACATGCGCACAAAACTAGTATAGCCTTTCACCCTTTGGGTACAGGGTATACAAAAATCGTATTGATTTGTTTTAAATTTAAAAAAGCCCGTTTAACTTTTCACCGCAGTCCTGCGCCAATGTGACCAAAACCGTAACACCTTGCCTGATCCATGAGTACCAGTGCAAGGATCGCATCACTTGCCTGCACCAGAACTGGCTCTGTGACGGTGACCGGGACTGTCCCGACGGCGACGATGAGCACACAGCCAGCTGCAAGAACATCAGCTGCCGACCCGATCAGTTCCAGTGCGGGGATCGCAGCTGCATTGCCGGACACCTGACTTGCAACGGACAGGCGGACTGTGCGGACGGCAGCGATGAAAAGAGTTGCCAATTAGCCGCCAAGCCCATCAGCTGCAATGCCACCAGAGAGTTCGACTGCGGCGGGGGTCAGTGCATTCCGCTCTCGAAGGTGTGCGACAAACGCAAGGACTGCCCCGATGGCGAGGACGAACCCGCCGGCAAGTGTGGCATCAATGAGTGCGCCAACAAAAATGGTGGCTGCATGCACCACTGTGTGGATCTCGCCGTTGGCCATCGCTGTGAATGCCACCAAGGCTACAGACTCGCTGGGGATGCGCGCAGCTGTGTGGATGTGAACGAATGCGAACAGCCCGGAGTGTGCTCTCAACTCTGTGCCAACGAGGTGGGCGGGTTCAAGTGCGAATGCGAAGCAGGCTATATGCGGGATCCGCGCAACCACACTCGCTGCAAAGCCACCGAAGGACACGCCTCCCTGCTCCTCGCCAGACGTCATGATATACGCAAGATAGCGCTGGACCACATGGAGATGACGTCTATAGTGAATAGCACGAAGTCGGCGACGGCATTGGACTTCGTTTTCCGCACCGGCATGATCTTCTGGAGCGATGTCACCACACAGAGCATATATAAGGCGCCCATCGACGAGGGCAACGAGAAGACTGTGGTGCTGAAGAAATCTTCAGTTACCTCCGATGGTCTGGCGGTGGATTGGATCTACAACCACGTCTACTTTACGGACACACACAAATGCACCATCGAGCTGACCAACTTCGATGGCAACATGGGAAAGGTGCTCATTGAGGACGAACTGGACATACCTCGCTCCATTGCTCTCGACCCCATTGAGGGCTGGATGTATTGGTCCGATTGGGGCGCCTCGCCACGCATCGAGCGCGCCGGCATGGATGGCTCGCATCGAACCACCATCATCAACTACGATGTGAAGTGGCCCAATGGCATTACCTTGGATTTGGTGCTCAAACGCATCTATTGGGTGGATGGGAAACTGAATATTATATCATCGGCTAACTATGATGGCTCACAGCGTCGTCAGATTCTGTACTCGACGGAATATCTGCGACATCCCTTCTCTATTTCGACCTTCGAGGACTATATCTACTGGACCGATTGGGACAAGCAGACGGTCTTTAAGGCAAACAAATTTACGGGTGAAGGTGTCGAGCCCATTACCGCCGTGCACATGGTAAGCGCTATTTGAAGCCGTCCCATTTATCTAATTTGTCATTGTTACTCACCCCATCTCTGTTGTTTCCTCTTACTCCCTTTCTCTCTCTCTCTCTCTCTATCTCTCTCTCTCGTATACAGTTACAACACCCTATGGTTATACATGTATATCATCCCTATCGCCAGCCCGATGGCATCAATCACTGCCAATCGGTCAATGGCCATTGCTCGCACTTATGTCTGCCAGCGCCGCGAATCAATGAACGCAGTCCTCGCATCTCCTGCGCCTGTCCTACGGGTCTTAAACTCATGACCGATGGCCTGATGTGTGTCGAAGATCGTAAGTAGCCTCATTCATTCAATTAATTTTCATAAAATGCTTGCCCGTTCAGTTCGAGAGACTAATACAATTAATAAAACCTTTTGATGCAGCCTTCATTAAAATCCACATCTAATTTTGAAAGTTAACCCAATGAAATGTTGGGGCAGTTATTAAGCAATTAGATTCACATTTAACCAGTTTTATGAAAAGGATATTCAATTCTTGTGTAGGACAGCGGAAGCTGATTTATTTATAACTCATAAGTAGTTTGTTATAACATTTTATATATAAAATAAATTGGTTAGTTGCCAACAACCCAGGATTGCATTGAGAGTCATGTCTAAGCAAGTTGTTAGCTCTGGCTTTTTCCACTCTGAGACTTTAGTCTTCACTTTTTATAAAGTCTGCATTATTATTATTTTAGATTGTACTAGAAAGTCGACAAATGCATTAAGTCCAGCTGGTTACACGAAATCGAATAGCTGTGCAATTATTTACAATTTATTATTTCTTTGAGTAACAGTTTAAGTTTATAAGAAAACGAGAATAATATCACAAGTACCCTTTCATAGTGCAGATGAGCTTTAAGAAGTATTTTTGAAACATTCAAACTTCAAATATTGGAAAAGGGTCTCCTACAACACAGAGTTGCATTTTCCTAGCAAGTTGGCAGCCCCACAATAGTTGCAAGGCTGCACCTAACTTATTTTTAACTTAGCTTAATTTTATTTACTTATGCTTTTTCCCAACTAATCCACCCACTTACCTCCCAAACCTGCAATGTATGCAGCCCGCTTTAGTTTACACCGCCCTACACCGCCCCGTTTACACAGAAAGACACAAAAATCAAAAACGAATCGACTTTGGAATTTTGGCGCCCAGAACCCCGCCGATGAATACGAAGTTCTTAATTTTAGCACAAGAACTCCGTCGGGACGCTCAGCTCTTATGGGTATGCCCCAGAAACTGTAATGTCCGTCGTCCTAAACGTGCTTTATGTTTTTTAGGGTCTACACTCAGAGAAAAACTGCGAGAATAAATTCTTCTACAAGATAGATTTTAAAATAATTTTATTTAAATATTTGAGAATATAAAAAAAAATCAATTATTATACGTTTAAATGCTTAATTTACATTGAATACTTATTTTATAACCATTCAATCAAAATTTACAATTTATTTTTCAATTAGTAAAAACATTGCTGCTTTCTTCCTTAAAACACTTTTTTATCAATTTTTTTAAAATTATTTCCAATGAGTTTTGAATGATTTCAAAATTATAGGCATAATTTTTTTTATTAATTAGTTTTTTATTTTGCAGTACTTAATCGAACAATTTACTTCTTTTACCAGAAAAATGGCTTAAAAATTTTATTAAAACTAAAATTTTTTTTTAAAATTCATTAAAAGATTTGTTTTTATTAATACTTGGTTAATACTTTTCATTAAATTTTTAATCTTTAATATTAATATAAAATTTAAAAAAGTGGCCTAATCCTAAGCAGAATAATGGCTCACAAATTTTATTAAAACTATAAATTTTTATTAAAATTCATTAAGAGATTAATTTTTATTAATGCTTGGTTAATATTTTTAATTAAATTTTTAATCTTTAATATTAATTTAAGTTTTAAATAAGTGGCCTAAGCAATAGTATATCCTTTTATCCTTTGAAGTTCGTAAACCAACATTAAAATTATGCGCGATACAGTTTTAAATAGCTAGGGGCTTTTAATGTAGATATGTAGATTTTTTTCTGAGTGTATTTAGCGTGTCCTGTCCACTTCATTCGTCCAGTCAAAACATTAGCTTTGTCATGCCACCACATTAATCATCATCAAAGCCAACAACTCAGCTACAGCTTTGACAGTTTCATAAGCGCAGTAAGCGAGACATCGACCACACGAACCACCCAACCACCCAACCACTCAGCCACTAAACCGAAAGCCACTTGCATAGTGAGCGCATAGCGGGCACAACCTCAGCAGCCGCAGAGATGGCAAAATGTTGCAACCTGTGCGTCATTGATAGCTGAGACCCACAGACCACCATAGAAGCTTGTGGTTAATATGTTGCACGATGCAAGGGGCAAGGGGCACGAGGTATGAGGCATGAGCGCCTGCAGCTTTAAACTTCTTATTGGGAACTTGAGCTGATGTTAATGTTTGATAACTTTTACTGTCAGAAATGCGTTGCATAATAAACGCCCCGAAACAGCGAGAGAGAGAGCGCCATTAAAGGCGTTGCGTTAACGATGTCATTACCCAGTCCTCATGCTTCATGCCTCATGTCTCATGCCCCATGCCCGTTGGCACATCCAGCTCATTCCAATCCATTCCATCCGATTCCATCCAGCATAAAAAGTTTAGCCATCAAAGGCGTTCGCGCGCTCGCGTTTAAGTGTTTATTTGCGCCTAAATGCGCACTTTGAACGATTTGATTGAAAATTCCTTTGGTTGTCTGTACGCCGTCGCCATCTTTATCTCCCTTCTTCCTTTTATTTCATTTTGATTTTTCTTTTTGGCGGCTAAAATGATTGTGTGAAAAGCGAAGGAGCTTGCGCGATATATTACACTCGATGATTTCACTTTTTCTTACGCTTTTTATTGCTGTGATTTTTATATGCTTGCCACATTTTGTGTTCGTCGATTCGCTTTTAATATTGCATTTAAAACCAAACCCGAATATCTGCAATTCTCTGTTCCCAGTTGCCGAGCATCCCGTGAAAAATAACACACATGTCGAACAAACCACGGCGCCGAGTCCCCAACCGGACTCCGGCTTCATAGCCCTTGTGGTCATCGCCAGTCTAAGTGGCACGGCCGTCCTTCTATCGGTGGTACGTACTTGTAGTGTTGTTGGCCAGTTGCGAGAAGCGCATTATGTAATCGAACTTGCCCTCTTCTTCTTCCGATTCAGCTCCTGCTCATTGGCTATCGCTACTGCAGCAAGCGACGCATCAATTCAATAAACTTCGAGAATCCCATTTACCGCAAGACCACCACTACGGAGGACCATTTTAGCTTGCGCAAGAATCTTCCAGCACGCATCTACGATCATACCAGTGTTATGGATGAGGAGGTAAGCATTACAATATAGTACAAGTACTATCCGATCTAAAGAGACCGAAGCAAAAACCCAAAATAATCTACAGCATTATTTAAATAAATATTATTTTATGAACTCCACTTTTTACTTTCCAAAAAGAGTATTTTTTTATATTTAACAAGAGTTAGGAAATAACAAATGCAATTTCTTTCAAATTTCCGCTTCTTGTCAGTACTCACCCGTCATAGGCATATCGTCGTATTAAAGACGCTTTCGAGACGTTGTAGTTATTGCTGTTGGTTTTGTTCTTATTGGTGGAGCACACACAACAACAAAATCGCAGTGGACGCCTGAAGACTGAGCAACTCTATATGTGTAAATTATTTTAAAATTTTAAGCACGGGCCGAACCGCATATTTAGCACAAAGATGACGCAAGAGAAGCCTACCAATTCAAAGATGATGAATAATGAGAAATAATATATTATTAATCCTCAAAGGATGTTGTACAAATGTATGGCGGCGGAAGCAGTTGAAGCGCTGAATGCTGCTGATAACTAAAAACGTAAACCTAAATATTAAATATTACAAATAGTTCCAAACTGTACATAGCCTGTAAGTGTGCATTATTTTTAAAAGCAAACGCAATCTACGTACTATTACTAACAAAATAACTACTTAGAAGAAACAAAAAGCAAAAGAGTTGATCGATTATTGTTTATGTTTTAAGAGATAATGCTCCCGTATTATTCTAATTATTATTATTATTATAAATATTGTGAATTACAATTATTACGTATTGTTAAGTGTACATATTGTATGTATGAGTGAAATATATATATTCTATATGTGTTAGAGGCGCATTAATAATAAAAACGAACACACACACATATGCTATATATATATAACACATAATTGTTTGTTTTTTGGGGTTAGGCGGGACTCGGCCTCTGTATCTGCTGATAGTACTCAGAGGATAGTTCCTTCACAAAACTGGTCAACTCGTCCGCCTTCTCCTTTGTGATCTGCTTCGAGGCCTCCACTTCAGTCTGCTCAGTGCTGAGCACCTTATACAATCCCACTCCGAACTTGCCAGCCAACTTCATGTTCACGAACACCATCATGTTCTGTTCAGTGTCTTCCAAAACGGCCTGACGATCGAAGTGATGATGAGGGGCATGCATGTTGTTGCATTTCTTGCTAACAACTTACCATTTCACCAGTAGCGTATATATGTTGAACACTATATATTTAACAAAGCAAAAACAGCTGCGACGAGAACCCAAAAAAATAAATACATACAATATTGGATTCCCAATTTCAGACTAAGACTGCTGAACTATGACAACGAACTCGGAAGCCTGCTGCCTGTTTAAAAAATTGCGTAGCTCCAAGTGTTGAATTGCTTTATTAGGTCAGTCTAAGTGTGACCAGCTGCAGTTTAATTAGAATATAAGCTGGTCACACTTATCCTAGAAGAGTTTAGAATTTCTAAATAATGTTATAGTCTCTATTCAGGTTTCATAAATACCAGAAATACCAAAGCAATAAACCAAACACGATCATTTATACTTGAATAATCTGCAATTTCCGTCATTTAGTTTGCCAAATGAAATATATATATTATATGTATATGTGTTAGAGAGTAAATAACAACGATATGTACTTGTGTTTGTTTTTAATTTTTTGGCTGATCTTGGGGTTAGGCGGGACTCGGCTTCTGTAGCTGCTGATAGTACTCAGTGGATAGTTCCTTTACAAAATTATTCATTACGTTCGCCTCCTCCTCTGTGATCTGCTTCGAGGCCACCACATTGAATATATACCCATTGTCAGTCTGCTCGGTGCTGAGCACCTTATACAATCCCACTCCGAACTTGCCAGCCAACTTCATGTTCACGAACACCATCATATTCTGTTTAGTGTCTTCCAAAACGGCCTGGCGATCGAAGTGATGATGAGGGGCATGTTGTTGCATTTCTTGTTAACAACTTACCATTTCACCGGTAGCGTATATATGTTGAACACTATATGTTTAACAAAGCAAAAACAGCAGCGGCGAGCACGCAAAAAAATATATAAATAAAGATATTGGATTCCCAATTTCAGACACAGACTGCTGAACTATGACAAGGAACTCGGAAGCCTGCTGCCTGTTTCAAAAATTGCATAGCTTCAAGTGTTGAGTTGTTGTTTTTTTAAGTCAGTTTAAGTGTGACCAGTTGCAGTTTAATTAGAATAGAAGCTGGTCACACTTAACCAAGCTGTGTTTAGAATTTTGCGTTACAACACATTTCTAAATAACGTTATAGTTTCTATTCATAATACCAAAGCAATAAACCAAACACTATAATTTACTATATACTTGAATAACTTGTCATAGCCGTTCATGTTTTGTCAAACGCCTTATTGCAGTGGATAATATTTCATATTAATTTGAACGGAGCTGCTCTCCACACCTAATTAATAGTCGTTTGGGACACCTCTTGATTGAACGCAGCCGATATCTGTTTGACATATTTGCTCAACTCCTCGTACACCTTCTTTGAAATGGGCTTGGAAGCCTTCACCTTGAGCGCACACTTGTTCTCTGTTAGCAGCACAATGTTGCTTACCATGTACTTTCCAATGCCATACTTCATGGCCAGCTTAGCATTCACGAACATTATCATGTTCTGCTCAGTGCGTTCCAAAACGGCCTGTGATGCACATATGTATGTACATACATACATATGTATGTACAAGTATGTATATTTGTCACAGCCTTGGTTATCCAATTACTTCAGTACTTACCATCTTGTCGGTGTGGAGAGATTGTTTTCCACACAAATAAACTACAAAAGCTGCTCCGGGTACCAAAAATATATACTTTTTTCTAGTGATTTAACTTTGCCAGTTTTTTGACAATAAAGAAAAAGGCCTACTTCTGCTTGAAGTCTTTAAAAAAATGTGCCTATACAAACGCTCAAAAAACTATTTTGAAAAACTAATTGAACTCAAAAATACTTACGCGACTTTGCTGGGTAAGAAAAATTATAAATTTCTGCGTCACTGGTTTATTAATTTGTATTTTATTTTGACCCATCATTTTTCGGGAATTAAATACAATGTCAATAATACTAAATATGAAAATGATCAAACAAATTCGTAAAGTTTGTCTGATGAAGATGCAGCAACTGGAAAACATCTGTGATGTCTCAATATTAAATTCTATCGATAAATGATTGTTAGGGGTTTGTTTTTAGTATTGAGATATGAGGTGAAAAGGTTAAATATGTTGGGGGTTTCAACAAAAATTGATTTATTGTCAAAATTGTAGCTTAAATATATTCTGTAAATACTACAAGCTATGAATATTTGTCATGAATTCGGCAGAGAATTGTATTATTGCTGATATAAGCACTGATAAATATTTTGAAAAGTCGATTATCAAAGAAAAATATTCATTTATTTTGATATTTAACAAAAAGTGCTCATCAGAGCATTATATCTAGAAAACGAAAACAAAAGAAACTTCACACATCCTGTTAACAAGCTCAACTTTTAAAAATAAATTTGCTTTATGTTATTTTAAAAAAATGTTATTCGGAATACTTACCCGGAAGCATGCTTGAAAATATAATTGAATTTCAACACTTTTAAATCTTAATGTTCATGCCAATATATAGAGACATAAGCATATAATGCACATACTTCATATTTCTAAGGTACTGCTTGAATTATTAGAAACAATCACAAGGAAAAAATGTTTGTTTTGCGCTCCAAAGCGCTTTTATTGACTTCTAAGAAGTCGAATACCTGCAAAAATTCATAAAGGAAGTTGACTTTAAAATCAAAATGAAAATATGTGTCTTTTCTGCTGAAACCAATCTCTCAAAATCATATTACTCTGCCAAAAACATGTTAAAAAGTGCTAGTACCTCACCATTTTGAAACACATCTTATGTACTTAAATAACCTTTACACATGCTCTTAGTTTCCACAACTACCTCAATCTAGTTATAGTTAAATCGCTCAACAAAACAATTTCCGATGCGACACGTGTTGGGTGCCTATTTTAAGCCCACAATTCAGACACCTTTCCGTCTTCAAATGGGCCAAAGCATTTGCATATCGCATTAGAAAAGTCAATGACTAAAATATGCAAATAATTGGGTTTGCTAATGGACTGGAAATTTTGTACAGTACGCTTTTGTGTTCGACTCAACTCTGATCCGCGCAGACAAGCCGAAAACTGTCTCTAGCCGATAGGAGTGGACGTCTATTGCATAATTTAATTGTAAATAATTTGTAAATAAATGCAGAAGAAAAAAATGCGTGCGCTTTAGACTTCCAATACAAAACAAAATTCATGTTTAAATATTTAGTGACAGCACTAAAATTAGTGAAGCCTGTCTGTAGTGAGCAATTATTGGATTCGATACAATATCTTTTGCTTGACTATTTGCTTTTCATTTAATTACATTAATTCATCGATTTTATTCAACTTTGAAAATAATTGTTGACCAAATTAATTCAATAATTTTTTAATAATTTAAAAATAATACATACATTTTGTTTATCAATACTTTTAAATCTTGAATGAAGTGATTATATAGTAAGTCCAAAATAAACATTGATTTTATTTATCGAAAACAACCATTGCCAGAGATTAGATCGATGCTACGATATATCTGAAAAATTGAGAAATTATTGGATTCGACACAATATTTTTGCCTCGACTATTTGCTTTTCAATTAATTACATAAATTCACCTATTTTATTAAACTTTGAAAATAATTGTTTTTTTATTTGTTTATCAATACTTTTAAATCTTGAATGAAGTAATATATGTATAGTAAGTCCAAAATAAACATTGATTTTATTTATCGATCGATGCTTCGATATATCTGAATAGCTTACGTCGACACATTGACTTTTCATAAAAATTTTCAAATGTAACAAAATGCGTTCTTTAGAATGAAGTTCTATAATACATAAAATATAATACAACAATTTTGAGTACATTTTTCATATTTAATTATTCAAATCAATCAAGAAAACTTGAGAGGCTTTCGTTAATGAGATAAACTAATAAGCCTTTTCTTGATCTGAAAAAAATGTACAATTAACATTAAATTTGTTCAACTTACTAATGTTTAGAAATTTCGAAAAATTCCTCATTTTTACAAATAAACTGTTTTGTCTTTCAAAAATTCCAAATTAAAACTAGAAATTTGAAAACGCGTTTTGTCACTGCAGGTTTTTTTTCTGTAAAGTAAATGTGGAAGCTATGTACGTACAATATTTTCTTTGGAATTAAAATTGTATGTACAAGTATGTTTTAAATTCCCCAAATATTTTCGAAATTGGTTGAGTTATTAAATCAGAAATACTCTTTTTTAATATTGTCTGTATATTGTATCGCTTTTATATTTGAATGTATATAAGGATTTATTATGGCTTTTAGTTTAAGCACCAATTTTTTGATGGTAGGGTTAAGCTTAGAACATAAGAAATTAGCTTCATTTACTTATTCAACCATCTACTATAACTGTTCGAGAGGGCACGTGCTCATTAAAGAGCACTTCGAATTTTACGACACTGTTGATCTTGTTTACCAGTAAAGCTCTAGCAATTACGACCTGGGGCAACAAGTTATGTGACCTTACCACTTACCAGTTTTTAGGCTTAATTGGTGTATCAAAAACGAAATGCGGACACACCTCCAAAAAAAAGTCGATTGCTGTAATTAGATCAGCACATGCATAGTTCATAGAGAATGAATATGTGTATAACTATGTAAGAGTGAATTTTTGATTTTATTTAAGAGAGAGATCTAGCGCTCAAACAGTTTCAATGTCACGCGCTCTCTCTTGCTGGCCAGCGCTCTTTTCAGATTTTCTCTGACACGTTGTAAGGCAGTCGACGAGCCCACTTACAGATGAATTTTGATTGTGGAACTGCTTCACAATTACGCAGATAGTGCTCGCTCTTTTTTTTCGATCGTTTGCTAGATCGGCAGTGGTCTTAAGGTGTGCGCGTGGCGCTCGTCGGTTCGTCGATTCGTCGGCTGTTCGCTGTCGGCTGTCGGTTTTTTGTAAGCTGCCGGCTCGGCCACGAACCCAGAGCAAAACCTGGTACGAACAACTTCGTGTGTTTTAGTCGCTTATTGCCGTGAGCTGCGCATAGTTGTGGTACCGGTTGCCCTCTCTATAGAGCTCGATCTAACGTGTGTCGCATCGGTTACGGAATGTACAAAAATTTGTATGCGCGAAATAGCAGATGAACTAAAGAAAAGCAAATAGGAAAAGTTTGAAAGCGAATCCACCAAAAAAATAAATTACAAAAAATCGTTTCGAGTGTTAGCCAACGAAAGTGTTAATTGAAAATGTATGAAAATATTTAGCTAAGTTGCGTCAAAGCTGTATACACAAGTGTGTGAACACATATAGTAGACTAACTGTAGAGTAATGGATACTGCTGATATCGGCAAATAAGACACAGCACGTGTAGTGAATTTTCCCCCTTTTCTTTGACTCATTGAAACCCTAGAACACTTATCGCCCACACTTCCTATGAAATGCCCAGGTATTGGGGGTTTCTGATCCGCTAAGGTGTATGGCATTTATGACTCATTTCGATGGATTGCAAAAAACAAAAAAAGGAGAGAGAAATATGTTTAAATATCCGAAATACTGCAACTGTTCCGCTTGGCATCTTTGGAAGCAATTTACTGCAAGCACACGGTGGTTAACACTTGTTAGAGGCTACATAGCTGGTCTCGTTCGAGTTGGCCATTAGTGCTCGGCCCGCTGCCCCTGACCGACCGACCGACCGTCCATGTGTTCTTTTATGCTGTCTTTCGGTTTTTTCTTCCTACAGTTGCTCATTTTTATGTTTTCTGCAACATTGCTTAACGCTTTTTAATACTCTCCACCAAATGGGGTGCTTCACACTCTATATAAGATGGGTGTAGGAACAGTTAAATAAATTTCCTAAACAAATAATGAAAATTGAATATATGACAGATTATACAAAGAAATCAACATGCAAATCATATTTTCCTGTTTGGCTAAATATTGCTTTATGAATAGAAAACTGACACTGTTGGTCTATTCTTCAAAATAATCTACAGGTTCTAAATAAAATAAGACAAACGGCCCAATATTATCTAAAATCAATACAAGTTCCTATTGAGGAGCGGTTTATTAATCATCGTTTTATCTTAGTTAGGGCATTTATGTTTCGTTATTCGGTGAAAAATGTAATTCTACATGTTTTTTTTTCTTGCTTGCGCACTTCTTTCGCACGTTTATCATGCGTTGCTCTTTATCTCTCTTCCTCTCTCAAAAATTCGATACATTGCCGAATATTTTCGCATCTGTCGTACGTTTTTTTCGTTAATGGCGAGTTTTTTTTCAATTTTTTTCTTGGCAAACGCCGAGTCTTTCTAGTTTTTTTTTTTTTTATTATTGTCGTTGTCAATTATATGGGGGGAAAAAAACAGCTGATGCCAAGGCGCCGAGCTGTGTATTATTTAATAAATAAAGTGAACATTTGGTCTGGAAAGTGTTTTGAAAGTGCAAACCTCTTTCGATTGCAGCAGTAAAGGGTGCCACAAAATAATTATAATTGTAATATAATAGCAATAATAGTATTTATTGAAAAAAAAGTGCGGCCCACAAAAAATGGCAACAGTCTGCCTGCAACTAGCGCCGTGTCAAACAGCCGCTTATGTCACAACCGATCAAGTAGAAGAAGAAGAAGAACAACAACAACAAGTAGAGGATAACCTTAACACCACCACAACACCAACAACAACAACAGTAGCAGCAGCAGCAGCAGCAACAACATCCAGTGAGCCAACCAAAGTGAGCTTCTTCTTTGGAAACTGCAGCAATTACCAGAGTCGCGTGCAACAGCTGATCAGCTTCAGCTTCACCTCCTCGTTCCACCTGCTCTTCATCACCTGCATCCTGAGCATCAGCAAGTTCTGCAATGCCGCCGCCTTCAACGCCGCGAACAGCAATCCCGGTTCGATAATGCAAACCTTCAATGGCTCCACATTGCTGGAGAAACTGAAAGCCACCACCTTGGGGCCACCACTTGGCAAGCTGAAGAACTTGGGGCCGGCAGCGGCCAACAGCATTCAGGCCATTGGTAGTAGCAGCGCCAGTGGCAGCGGTATTGGCAGCATTGGCAATTCGTTCTTGAACATGGATTTCAAGTTTTTGAATGTCTCGGGCAAAATTGGCTCACCACTGGATATATGTGAGTATAGAGACGTATACGCGTATATACTTAAGTGTCTGTAGAATTTGTAAAAATGTTGCCACTCATGGCTCATGGGCATTACTTAGTTTTCTAATTTAGCGGCTTCGCGTTGCTCCGCCGACTGGCTTAGCGCTAAAAATAGTTGGGGCCGACGGCAAATTGCAATGTGTGATGTTTATTGACTTTAATTCTCGCATTTCTGCCAACTCCCTGTTTTACTGGGCATGTCTGGTCTGCTCTGGACACAGGCTCGGAGTCGGGTTTTATTTATGCGAAGCCAACAACCGAACAGCCGATTCGTCTGGCATTGGCGGCATCTACATGCAGTTAAAGAAAAACCATATCGTATTTCTCAGCTCTTCTTCTTCTTCGTCTTCTTAACTCAAAAGCAAAATGTGCGAACTCATCTTTAAATCTTGAAGATTTCAAAAGCCCTACTTCATATGTTAAGAACAGCCATTATAGAGTATCAGTGAAAATAGCATCTTCTTTTTCAAAATTCACACACATTTCTGGATAACATTTGAGATCTATTATTGGTACATTTTAAGAAAAATATCCACTCTCTTTTCATCTTTATATAACTCAAATGTTGGCATATTAAGCGCACGCATAAGTAATTCTAGTGACATTTAAGTAGCAACTCTGTAAATAAATGAAAATACATATTTACGAAAGTATTCTTCATTGTTCATATCTATATCTCATCTTTCAATTCCCTACATTCTCTTTAAAGGTTAAAAAATTGTTTTCATTATCACTCAGAAAGGGTAAAATTTGTATTTCATCTTTAAGATCTTAATCTAGAAACAATATCATAAATTTTACAACAGTCCAACATTTTTGAATATTAATTAATTTATTAATTAATAATAATAATTAATTCTTATGAAATTCAATAGCATTTCTGTACATTATATATAGGACTGTGTTCTACAACATTTTTAGCTGATCTTTCACTTCCCTACATTCTCTTTAAAGCTTAAAAATTATTTGTTTTAAAAAGTGTCTGAAAAGATTAAAACAACAATTGAATACAAAACAGTTCTGATAACACACGAAATCGACTAATTTTTCTTACTGCTAGCTATTTGCACTCTCAAAAATATATCGATTTAAACCTTAAATGGATCTTAATATTTGGCATTCAACAAAACTAGTTTTCAAATAATGCAAAAAAAAAAAAAAAAAACTGGAAAACAGTAAAATCACTTTTTAAACAAATTTCTAGCTACAGCAAAAAGTAAAGATATGAACAATTCACTTATTCGAGTAGCTTTACTATAAGTATTTGCTGATAACTGAAATCATATACATAAGTGAGTTGCATAACAGAAGTTTTGGTTTTTTGAAGTTTTTAGATCGAACATACTTACACACTTTTATCAAACAATTTACTCGTCTTCGGTAACTATGCTGCTCTTGTCGTGTTATTTCTCTCAGTGTTACGCGTCCCCTCCGCCGTCTCTGGATCTGCTGGCTATACGTCATGCGAGTATGCTTTATGCTGACGTTGTTGCCTTTTACTTTTCGCTGCACCGCTGGACCATCGCTCTGTCGCTCTCCCTCTCCACCATGCACCGCTCTTCTTAGCAATCTCTTTTGACGGCCACTCTTTGTGTTCCGTTTCTTTTTGTGCCTTTTATACCGGCCGGCTTATGCTGGAGCACCAAGAGAGTGACGGTGAAGTCGACTTAGCGGTAGCGGAGAACGAAATAGCAACAGAACCACAACAAGTGGTTTTTATACACTATACCCGAGGGATACTCGCACAGAGAGCATATTAGATTTGTGCAATTGTATGTAACAGGTTCAAAGTTCATTCAAAGCGATTAATCCGTTTTGTTTATTTTTTTGGTTAAATACCCTGTTTAAGAGTTAAGCTTGCTGGCTTTGTTTTTAAAATGGTGACGTACTTGTTGCTGTTGCTAATATACCCGCAGTTTGAAGCATGCACAGAAATGCTGACAAAAGACTTCCAACTGAATGTAGACTTCTCTTCAAAAAATGTATTCTTCAGATCTTCTTTCATAAAAAAAGGTTATTCTTATTTTATTATAAGAATATATCGCATACATCTTCAATACAAATTTTAAGCCCTGAAGTGAACTCTCCATTTTTATATCGACATTTAGAAAAGCTTTCTTAAGTTATCGATATTTTTATTTAATTAATTCAACTGTCCGAGCTCTTTTGTTGAACATGCTTTAAAAAAGTTGCTTTAGTTATGGATCAGCGTGTTATTACTTTCACATGCCATCTTAAAGGTCCAGAAACGCAATTCTAATTTAATTTTAACGTTAAATACTTGTTGAACTTTGAGTTTTTCGAATTTAGCTGACATTTAAAAGCCGACTTGCTTTATCGATATCACTAGTGTATTAACACCACATGCCCTGCGGTCAGCTCATTAGTTTCAGATGTCGGCTAAGAGGTCCCGAAAAATAATTATACGCCATATTAAATTTTTATATCAGCTTTTTAGCTGAATATCCATCTGTGGAATGTAGTTGGCATTTAGAAAAAGTTGCCCAAGTTATCGATATGCATAATTAATAGCTTTCACATGCACGGTTGAAAACTCGCGAGCTCATAACGATGTCTGACTTTAAACTTTAGGCCACAGTATGAATAAATTAAATATTGCAAAAACAAACATCACCTTCAAGAAGCGCTTAAACAAAACACTAAAACGCGGTGAATGTCAAGACAAAATAAGCTCGGACCAGCACGAAAAAGTAAATGCTGGGTCATGAGTTCGAGGCAAAGGTTAAGCAGACGCGCTGCTGGGTCTATAAGTCCAGGCTAAGTGCCTGGTTATTGTTCATATCAATTGTCAATAAACTGGTCATTTATATATGGCACTAGATATATTAACTTGTCCAATAAATTGCAACTTTTACAGTACAAAAATAGATGACAAATAAATTGCTTTCTTGCCAGCAGCGCACAGTCGATTGCCGATTGCATTTATAGAAGTAGGTAGAGCCAGTTAGTGGGACAGAAATGGGTCAGCAAGAAATCTGCCAATATTTCATGCTCTTCCGTTCGTTATTTATAAAACGAACCCAACAAAACAGAACGCGTGCAGCGAAATGAAGTGTTTGCTGCCCATGAATGCAATTAGTCGATGTCGTTGTCTTTATTGCCACAACCCCAAACTCAATTCTGGCCAATTGTGATTAGCCAAATCTCCTTCCGCCAGTCCGACTAACTAATTGCACTTCCACTGAAAAATTGTCAACAGCAATCAGACGTGCCGCCTCTGACCATCTCTGGCCACTGTTTGTGGCATCTTCAACTCGCCACCTGCATACAAATGAAGCTCTATGCCACAAAAATTCTGCTGCAACAAAAATCGAATCGAACTCTGCAGGAAACCGCCAGCGGACTTGCTTCGTGTCGGTATTTTTCATGAATTTTAAAATTGAAATTAAACAAGTTTACGAGACGCGTATGACAGCATCATAAAAACTGACACAGCACAGCACAGTCAAGTCCAACTCCAAGTCCAAGTCGCAGACTTTTAGTAATTAACTTGGCTAATTATCTTATTCGGAATATGTGCACGTGCTCAGAGGATCTCTTCAGACCTTGCCTCACTTTCAATTGGCTACACTCCCAAAAAAGAATAGCCATTAAATAATAACTATACACACAAATATTTTTTAAAGTAAAGTAAATTAAACTTAGTGATGAATTTACATGGCTTTCGGGCCCTATTTCGATAATATGATGTGCGTCTGTTTGTTCGTCTGTTCGACTGTATGAACATCGAGAACTTTTGAACCAGAAGAGCTACGAACACCAAAATAAGTATGAAGATGAAGATTATGTGTATGAACTGATTATTTTTTTAACAGCCACAGGTACTATATTTTTAATCAGATTTTGTAGTTCTTCATGGAACTACAAGTATATATGAAGTTGTATCAATATTCATGTACTATATCGTATAGCTGTCATAGGCATTATCGCTGCAGAAATTAATCTTAGTTTAAAACACATTCTTGTTTCTCAAATATATCTTAAGAAAATTAGATATTTATAATGCCGTACCATAAACTGAAATTGCATTAAAATCGGTAAACTTTATTACTGTAATAGCTGTAATAGGTTGGATTGGCACAAGAAAGTATATTTTATTTCAAATTCTGAAGCGAGAAAAAGGGTAGAAATCTGGCTGACACGTCTTTAGAGTGCTATTCTTTAACATCATATATTTGGATATACCTTAAAAAGAACTGGAAATCCAGCCTAGCGCAAAGCAAAAATGTTTGTTCCTGATCACTATTTCCTCAATCATTTAAAACTTTTTGTCCTAAGTCTATCATAATTATTAAAAAATAAAATGCTGTACGTAAACAACTCTCTCAAAGCTAAGAAACAATTTCTTTTCACACTCTTTAAAGCATTTTTTTAATTCAAAATAAAATGTTTTTCTAATGTTTACCAAATTATGCTATATACCTTTTAAAATAAGAAATATTTGCAATTTTTTCCAACCTTTCGAAGTACTTAGTTTTATCTCAGAGTGTAAGTTTTGAATTTTATTTTACAGACCCTTTTGGGCTTTAAATGAAGGTTTGATTTTTATTTAACATACCTTTTTGCTTTAATTACTTTTGTACAAATATAGGTTGTAGGTAGTTTTATTTTGTGTTGCCGGCTGCATAAAAACTGGTTTTAATTAAAGCCACTAACACACACACAGACACATACACACAAGCAGTCGGAGCTGTAAACAACTTTCAGAGATGAAGCCAAAAAAGTGTAACAGCAACAAACAGACAAACAAATAACTTGCCACTGTGCTTATACACGTGTGTGTGTGTGTTTGTGTGTGTGTTTGTGTGCGTCTGTGTGTGCAATATGTGATGCATTTGTTTGTTAACAAGTATGGTATTTTGCAATTTCATAACTGCCTACTGCAAAAGGAACAACAATAACAACATCTCTGATGCTTACATTGCACGATGTAAAGGTATACAATATGT